CCAGCTGGGTGGCATCGGGGCATACACAGGCTCGAGTAGAGGCCGCTCTGAAACGCCCCCAGGCCACCTGGGTGGGGGGTGCTGGGGTAGGAGAAGCCCTCACCCGCATTTTCCTCTGGCGCGGGCAGAGGTAGAGGTCCAGGCAGCGCTCGAAGCGCTCATGGATGAAGCGGGAGTAGGCAGGCACTGCCCGCAGGCACCGGTACTGCTGGGGCACGAAGTTCAGCTTCCGCTCGGCCGGCTCCTGCTGCTCCCAGGCCAGCTTCTGCAGGGCGGAGGGGACCCGGGTGAGCAGGGCTGGCAGGACCCCCGGATGGCGAGGTGCCACTGCCCCAGCCCCGACACATCCCCCCGAGCCCAGCAAGAACCATCCTCGAGCTCGTTTCTCGCCGTGCTGCTCCGCAAGACACCGCGCTTACCCCTCTACCCCAACGCTCCCTGTCTGCCTCCACCCGAGCCCTCCTCAGCCTGCCAGGGTTTTGCTGCCCGTTTTTGCCCGTGGGCTGAATGTGCCTCTGGGCACAGCGTGCCAGGATGAATCCCACAGCAGGACACCCTGCAGTAGTTTAGCTTGGAGGCTGTACCTTGCCGTCGCAGGGACACCCCGCTCCCTGGGAGGTGGCCCCACTTCTGTTTTTATTCAGGGGGTTGAGGAACCTTTGCTTTCCTTTTCCTTGCAAGGTCTTGACTCATCTCGACATGACGTGGTCTCTAGGGTGCCCCTCCAAGGTGCGGCACTTCCCCCACTGCCCTCCCCAGCACAGCCTCCCTCGGGTCCTGGCACCTACTGAGCCCCCCGTGTGCCCAGTGCTTTCCCCCGTGGCTCCTGGCCGCTCACGGCCTCCCCTTACCTCCTCCTCGCTGAGCAGGTACTCGGGTGGGGGGTTGTAGGACTCCTCGTGCCCAGGCAGCTTCATCTTGGGGGCTGGGACGTGCATCTTGTGGCGGCCCAGGATGGAGTTCGGATCCTCATGGGCCCAGAGGTCATAGTACGTAGGTGTGTCATCCTTGGGCTTACGGGGCTTGATCCAGCCCATCTTGATGGCGTGGACTAACTTGGAGACCTGTGGGGCAGGGAGAGGTCAACCCCAGGAGTCACAGGACTCTGCAGGCTTGGGGAGGAGCACGTGTGGGATGTGAGGATTTCCAGCACAGCTCTGCAGCCCTGGGAACCCGGTGGGGGGCTGCGCAGGACCGGAGGACTTGGCACGGGTTTACATGTGGACACAAACTGCTGCAGCAGGAACAGTCGTGGGGGTGGGTGGGCCACGGCAGGGACCAGGAGGGTCGCCGGGACAGGAGAACAGCCGCAGTCAGCAGCCTTCAGCACTGTTGTTTGCATGGGGGCTCCAGTCACATGCAGAGCTTGGCTTTGTGCTTCCAGCTCACCCAAGGTGCCGTCAGACCACTCACCTTTTCCTTCTCGATGAGGGAGGGGATGAAGCTCCGCTTGTCTGCTGGGCGATTTGTCACCGGGTGGATCATGACCTCGTGGGTGAAGAAGTCAACGGCCGGCTGGGGAGACACAGACCCAGGTGGCAGTGGCGCCCCTGCCCATCCTGGGGCAACCCAGTGCTCGGAGCAAGCGCAGCGGGTGTGCCACGACCCTACCTCGTAGGGATTGAAGTGGACATCCCCAAACTGCCCTTTCTGGAGCCGATGCACCAGGTCCACCTGCTCGTCTGTCAGCTTTATGTCCGCACCCGTCATCTTGTCCTGGACCGTTCGCCTGCAGGGAACCAGGTGGGACAGCGTTAGAGCTGGACTGCAGCGCCCGTCCCTGACGGTGGTACAAGCCCCGCTACCTTGAAGCGAAGCCCCGGGCTCCCGAAGCCACACACCAGGAGTCACACTGGGAGACCTCCACAGCTCTGGGCTCCGGGGAGTCGGGGTGTTTCAAGCCCCGGTGTGCGCGTGTGTGGACACACACCCTCCATGTGGCGAGCACGTCACACCATGCACCGACGCGGCTTTCCCCGATGTGCTCACCAGTAATCGGGGTTCTCCATCTTCTCCAGGAACATGTCTAGCTCGTCCTTGTTCCGGATGGGCTTGTAGATCCTCTTGCCCTCCAGGTTGTAGCCGATGTGCGGGAAGTCCTGGTACCATTCCATGGGGATGTTGCCCACTGTGTTGCGAATGTCCTGGAGGGGAGTGGAGGGAAGTGGTGTGAGGGGAGGGCAGGGGACACCGTTGCAAGCAGATGCACCCCTGGGTGCCAGGAAAGCCGTGTGACGTCCGCCCCCCTGCCCAGGTACAGGCTGAAGCGCGCTGCCTCCCCCTTCCCCACCTGCAGGCACTGAAAAGCAGTAACGGCACCCGGGAGGTGCTCTGCCTGCGGCTTGCAGTGAGGATGCCCCAAGCCCCCCCAGCAGGAGCAAAGAAACCCCCGGCTGCAACCTGCCGATGCCCGCTGCCGCACTGCGCTGCCCCAGCACCCACACGCTGCAGGCAGCCGGGGCCGCACGAGGCTGGAGAGGGGTGCATCGGGACGGGGGAGGCTGGGAGGGCAATGACTGAACCCCAAAGCTGCAGTGGGGTGAGGAGGCCTGGCCTGCGAGCACACCTCCAACCCCAGTGCCCTGCACGACTGCGGGCAGCCCTGAGCTGCGCTTCGTTAGGGGGGTGCAGCCCCTTCCTCCATGCAGAGGACGCAAGCGTCAAGGTAAAGCAGCGCCTGGGCTCATTTACCGCAGCAGGAAGAGTTTAAAAACCTTTTCATGGCTTGATGAGTGGGA